TATTTATTGCCAAAAAAACAAAAAATATTTTTATAGTAAAGGACCTATAGGGGGCAAATACTGCCCGTATGTAGGTTGGCCCTAACATAACGTACAACTACAACTACTTACTATAACTTACAACTACTTCATATTGGTTGTGAATTGACATTGACATCGCCAATTATACACAAATATATTTTACTTTTTATAATTTTGCAATTTGAAAAAAACTTTTAGATATTTTCAATTTTATTTTTACATTTTATTTATGAGATTGTAACACTTCTACTGTTTTCTTGAAATTTTTTTTAAGTACTTTTTTGTCAACATTGATATTTTTCAGTTCATTAGGTAATTCATTACAATATTTTACTGCATAATACACATAGCTTCTTTGTCCAATAGCCAGTTGATGTAGGGGCAAAATAATACTTTTATTATGAGTATTCATTTAATTATCTATATATTCATTTTTTAATTCACTATATTGATACACTATTGAATTCACCACAAAAGCTTGTTTGATACTCAGTGGTCTATCTGCATCTTGTTCGTTTATTTCAATAATTTTAAGAATACGCTTCTGAAGCCGATCCAACGGGTAAAAAAATTAATTATTCTTTAAAGAAAATCATCTAAAACAAAAACTATATAAAACAAAATATCTGACACCGCATCTACTGAGTTTATTATAACAGAATCTTCGTCAAATGAAATAAATCAACATGGGGAAAAACAACGGCTGGTTTGTCTTCAAGCAACCACCATAATTTAAATAATAAATTATCTCAAATTATGTTGTATGGCGTTCGGCGGACGATTAGCCAAACCTTGTAGTACGCATATAGATAGATTTTTTTATATCATTGATTTTGTAATATTTAAAAGCATTTGCTTTCTTATATATACATATATATACTTACATTGTATGTATTTTTAGTCCGAAAGGATCCATGTTCTATTAAAGTCATGAGTTATGACTAGCCACCAATACTACCGCAGAGAATGAATATTATTTGGAAGTGCTCTAAATTGCCGTTGAATTTCGATCCATTAGTTGGCGAAAGTATTGGTCAGATACTTTTTGACTATGGCCCGATAGTGTGCGGGATATCCATCATTCTTGAAGATGATTGGTCTATCGTGATATCAGTATATCAGTAGTTTGAAAAAAATGTAATTCTCGCTGTTGAGATTACCCCGCAAATAGTGTGGACCGAGGATCTCCCGATCACACTTACCCAAAAATTGACGCCAAACCTCGTGAAACGACGTTGCCTTGGGCAAAAGCGGGCTTTGGTTTTTGTCTGCCTAAAAATGCTAAAGGCCCCTTGACGTGTTAGTTCATAAAATCCTTTTTAAAATTCTCCATCTGCCACCTCTGTGTGCAGTAAAAACCGACAAAAGAATAATCGTAGTTCGTTATTACCTGTGCAACACCTAGAATAAAATAGGAAGACTCCAATAAGACTTCTAAGAATATGGGACAGGCAAATGTACTTTGTACTGGTGTACAATGGAAAGCATGATTTCCGTCTACATTGATGACTGACCATGCTTTCCATATAGAGACTTCAAGATGTGTAGCCGGTTTTTTATGTTAAGTTTTTCATGCTAAGTCACACAGAAGACGAAGAACTGTAGAGACCTCCCGAGCCTATGACCGCATACACAGCGACACTATGGAAAAGACCATAATAAAATTGTAATAACTGCTTTCTTGTTAGTACTTCCTTGAGTCTATAACAAACATATACTAAGTATTTGTTTTTTTTTACTGTGTTGGCCATGTGAACATCCCATTTTATATTATAGTCGTAAGGTATTCCTAGATATTTACAATAATTTCATTCGTATAATTAGACATCGCCCTTAAAAGTTAATAAAACATCAACAGCAAGCAATAACAATGTGAACAATCATTTTTTTTACTACGCCCTCTGCTTGCAAAGGATGGCGATCCGAGTGGCTCGGGAAACTGCAGCCGGAAATATTTCTATTCATGAGCGATTAAACCACTCCATGAGGTTTGGCACCTCCCCATTTTCTTGCACTCTGCCCTACATTATCACCCTCCGAGATTCATATTTTTCGCACCTCATAATAAACCGTGAGACTTGATCATGCAATTTAGAACTTCATTGTTATTGATTTTTTGTACCTATGAAATCCGCAATATCCTTCTCGATATGTACATCTCGAAAGCTACTAAGGAAGACAAATATCTTTTTCGTAACTTGAAAAATCAAAAAGATATCAACATAAATAGTAACATAAAAAAATTTGAGCTCGTTGTTGATAGAGTCCAAAAACAAAAGACAAGCGGTAGTTTTTACCATCGAGTTTTTTCTCAGATATACATACATCAGTAGCCGCTTTTGGGAAGGCTAGTATTTGGTCTTGACTACATTTAGTTGAAATCTAAAAATGTCGCTATAATGAACTATGCGATATACCATATTTTATAGCTAAAATGCACATCTTGCAATTCCATCCAGGGCCTCTAAAAATATAGCCTCCGAATAAAGATTAAACAATAAAACTGTGTCAGTCGCCTGGTATCTTGCCCGAACTACAATTCTTGGTAAACGGTGAAATTATCAGATACAGATTTTTGCCTTCATTATCTTCTTTATTTTATTAGATTTTATTTAGATTTAGTGTTTAAGGTTCAAAAGCTTTCTATTTTTTGTGATCTAATGGCGTTTTAGGTTAGCTGATGCATGTGGTCGCTTGTGTCCACCTTGATATCTTTGACCAAGCTTATTTTAGCGATAGCCGCTGGCAGAATAGGCAAGACTGACTTGAAAATACGTCGACAGATTTAAAAACGTTAAAAGATGAGAAAATATATAAATAGGGACAGACAAAAGTTTCGGCTTCAACCGCTAACCTTCTATACACTTGGACCTATTGTTGGGTCCTGATCCCTGAATTTTTGTTTTCCATTTCTCGCCTAATGTTTATTTTATATTCCGATCTTTCCTTCCAGATGTGGTTCGTGATAATAATTGCAATTTCAAGAATGAAAATAATAAAAGTTTTACAGATACAGCAATGTCCATCTGTACAATACATCATAAAAGCGAAATTTCGAAAACGGGTATTAAAAATCTGTTGTGGCCGACTTTTAGAATCTCGATGACGCACATAAAAGTTTTGACCGAGGATAAGTTAGAGACTCATCACCGTGCGCTGGGTTGACCCGATCCGTACCCATTTGACTACTCTCTGCAAGGCGAGCGAAAAATCAATCTTCTCGGCGCGCCAGTGATCCGCCGACGAGGTTAAACGCGTTTTTGCAATCTCGGGGCTCATCTTTTTACCACGTAAAACAATAAACCGTATACCGCCAGCAATATCCGCGTTTTGTCCTCAATAAGACCATAAAGTTCATAGATACATGACCCAAAAATAATGTACCATCAAAATGGTCACGCTAGCTCTTAATTGCCGCGAGAGTCGGCGCTTTAAATCGAGAGATACCGGGTCCGGTAAGTCGGGGGACCGCTCGACGGCACCGAACTCCGATGCCGGCTTAATTAGTACCGAGTAACGCAAATAAAACGTCATTATTTTAGATTTCTGCATACAATTCGACTCGAAACTGTTCGGACGAACCGCACTTGAACAAAACGAGTGTAATTACGTTTCTAAAAGCGAGATTTTTCGGTGTCTTCCTCGTAAAGGCTTTCTTTCCACCATATGGCTTACGTTTGCTACCGGATCCCGACACGAATCAGCTGTTTACGTTTACGCGTGTACAGAAGCAATATTTAATTAATCTAACCGCACCACCCTGTACAGAGCGGTCGCCGTTAACAGTTTTGGTTAGTGGGTAAATACGGTCACTAGAAAATGCTGGAAATAAACCGATAAATAAATATACAGATAAATTTGCTGTTAAAAATGTATGTCTTTTTAACTAGTAATTTTACGATATTAGACAAAATATTTTAGTTATTTTGGAGAAACTTTGTTTTTGCTTTTGACTCTTAATAACATAAACTTTAACTCGGACAATGTATAATAAATGAAGTGCTGTAATGCACGAATGAAAATTATTATTTTTTTTTCTTTTCTAAACCCAATTTCTGGGCCATTCTTGTGCATTTAGAGCTACTTTATAATTCTATATAATTGTTTTTAATTTTACTTCATGGCCTATGTGGAATAACTTACTGTCTCCGAAGAGGCCCAAGAGCTATAGTGGAAATCTCTCTGCTTCCTTTACTTACAGAAAATTATAATTATTTTATTTTCTAATAATCCGTTACTTTGTTTACTAGAATTTCCATGCTGGCACAAAATTGTATATATTTGGCAATTGCGATATTTTTCCGTGTTGACTTGGCTTTAAGGTCAGTTTGCTTATATTTTTTACTCAGCTGCTTACATATAGCAGTGGTAGAAAGCAATAGTTCATAAAATCCGTAGAAAATATGATACAATGAATAATAGAATTTCTTTTCTTTGATAATGCGAAACGCTTTGCTTTTTGCTTTGCTTTGCTTTTTAAATTTACTTGCTTAATTGTCCACCCTCTACATACTGACAACAAAAGAGAAATAGTTCATATAAAATACACTTTCCTGTATTACATACATATAATACAAAAAAGAGAAGATATTGAAGATTTGTTAGAGCGGTTTCGTTCCACTCAAAAAGGTATCTACAGAATGCGTAAATATCTTTTTTGTAACTTGAAAAACCTAAAAGATATCGATATTAATTGTAACCTTAAAAATTGGGCTTGTTGCTGAGACAGTCCGGAATTAAAAGACGAATGGCGGTCTTCGCCATTAAGTTCTTCTCGAAGCAAGGCGATCGAGAATGTGCCGTCCGATTTTCCCTCCGAATTTGCTCACCCTGTACAACTAAAAACAGTCGTAAAACGTTAATTTACAACCGAAAACCGGTAGAGAAAAATTAATCGCCAATTAATTTTCTTAATTAGTTTTCTCCTTATTGGCGATCCAACGCGGTTTCGCGTTAGATAATTTTTTTTTTGTTTGCAGATGAATCAGACTTGCAAAGTGTGCGGGGAGCCGGCCGCAGGATTCCATTTTGGCGCGTTCACCTGCGAGGGCTGCAAGGTAATTTTTTTTATCTCTCGCTTTGATTTTTTTGTTTTTCTTATTATTATTTTATTTATATGTCTCCTTACCTTCTTTGTCGTCGTTTTTTTTTTACTTTCATTAACTACAAGTTGTCGTACGGTCTTTTGTATTGATATTTTTAAATTTTCATGCCTCTCTTCTTTCTCTCTTTCCTGCCATTTTCCCGTTATTTTTGACATTTTTTTAATTTCACTATTATTGTTGTATTGTATTTAGCGTTTTACTTTTTTATAAATAATATTTTTTGCATTTTTATGATCAGTTAATTAACTTGTCGAAATTTCAAAGTTTTTCTCATTAATTTCATACCTTTATCACTTCTTCCTATTAGATTTTTGACACCATATTATTTATACCCGATTTTACAAGATTTAAAATAAATTTAAAAACCCTATTTACACTTCTTTTCTTTGAATTATGTTTCCTTTTTTGTTTTTGTATAACTTTATCTATTATTCTGAATACTGAATTGTCTTGCTTTGTTTTGGCATAACTTTGATGAATAACATTTAGCACAACGGGGCAACACTTTTCTCTAGCAAATTTTACATGGTCTGTAGACGCACGGGAAAGGTTTTCAAAGAGGTCCAAAATCTCTGAAGTTTTAACAATCGTTCTTTTATTCTTTGCATTTTTTTATGGTGCTTTTCAATTTGCATAGGATTTGGAGCGAACCACGTAATCCGAATGTTGTTAACAAATTTATTGACGTTTAAAAATAAACAATTAACGTTGCAACATTCGGAACACTTTTTGAGCCCATAATTTTGGGCTTTCGCAAGCCGCTTCGCAGAGGCCTATACGGAACGCCGCTTAATCCTTATGGCGGTATCGAATTATAAATCTCGCAAATTGCATATTTACTCGCAAAAGAATAAAAAAAGCAACACCGCACACCGTACTTGGACACGGTCTGCTTAGCCGTAACCTTTAAAAGTTTTTCCTCAAAAATCGGCGATCTGATTTTGACCCGCGCTGAATTAACAAATATAAACTTAACACAAATTTTCTACGCTCCGCCGACCGTGTAATCCCACCCGATCGGTCATTTAATCTCGGATGATTCTCCGGTTCTTTTTTTTATTTTTTGACGAACTAGAAAATCGAATTTCTCTACAAAAATGGACCAAAACTAATGAAACTTAAACAGGTGCGGACCGACTGAAAGATTTTAAATTATTTAAATATCAAATCTAAAGGGAGGGGAGAATCACAGTACCACAATAATTACAACATAAAAGTATTTTAAAAAATAAAGACCATTAAAATTTGATTGACTTATTGTAAAAAAAATCGATAGTTCTCATTCACAATAAGCTGCAAAAAACAACAGTTGAAAACTCGAATTTTTGAAAAGACACTCTAAGAATACCAAAGTTGATTATCGCCTTTTAAGTTCGCCAAATCATTTGAGAAAATTTTACCTTTTTGTTGTTGAAACTTTGGAAATAAATTTTACTACTTTTTACATTAAGTTTTTTTAAGACGAATTCTGCTAAATATAAAATCTAGAGAGAGGGGGAGAACCAAGATACAAACTTTAAGAAAATCGTGTTAACAAAATGTCATTGAAGTATCACAATAAATATATAAGTGAAAGATGCAATTGTAATTAAATATATATTATTTTAATTTTATTTATTCTTTCCTAACGGCATAAAGCTCAATTACAAAAACGAAAATGGCAGTGGACAAAAATAACAATAATGTAATGTGTCACCATAATTACATAAAAATACTCATAAAAATATTTTTTAAAAAGCACATCAAATATGTAACTAAATTTATGAAAATCTATTTTACATAAATGTAAAAAAAAACAAAATGACCAAAAATGTATTACGCAACATTTCTATTTTTTTATTTAATTTATTATTTATTTGTATTTATTTTATTTAAAGTCTGGACCAAATTATAAATTACATAAATATATGTATATAGAAATATATATTCATAATATACGATATTTATTTATTTTGTTAAAAATCCAAAAATACAAATAATACAATATTAAAATGGCTAAAGTACCGATACAATTATAGCGTAAAAGTATTAAAAGACCATTAATATTTGATTACAGATAACAGAATAGAATACGTTTGTTGTAAACTTGTTGTAAACTTGAAAAACAGCAAGTCAAAACCCTAAAACTAATTTTTAAAAAGACACTTTAAGACGAGCTAAGTTGTGTATCATCTTTTTTTTTTCTTGAAACTTTTTTTAATTCTACTAAATTTAAAGTCTACGAGAAGAGGGAGAACCAGGGTACTTTAAGACTAACTTTAAGAAAATCGCGTTAATAAGATTTAGTTTTATTTATTGTCCACTAACGGCGCACAGCTCAATTGCGAAAATGAAAATTGCAGTGCACAAAAATACAAATAATACGATATTGAAGCAGCTATAATAACACACAAATATATTTTTTTAAAAAACTCATCAAATATATGACTAATCTTATGAAAATCTCTTTTTCATAAATGTAAAGAAACAAAATGGTCAAAAATATATTACGCAACGAAGCTATATTTCTATTTTTTATTTAATTTACTATTTATTTTTATTTACTTTATTTAAAGGCTTTATTGTAAAATTTACAAATGGCAGAGTCTAGTTTTTCGACTACTCATACGGAACCCACTTAAGTTACACAATCTCGACAATCTGAATTTAAGGTTAAGTTCAGTTCAGATCAGTTAAAGTTCAGATCTTATAAAGAAGCTTACAAATAATGTTCAAGTATTAGTATTACTATAATTACTTCAAGACATCTTTGTGATTTTAAGTAATACATTAATGTATTAATTAACATTGACACATTCGTCCACTATAATTTTTTTTATTCCCAATAACAAAAATAGATAATAATTAGTAAATTTATTTGCAGCAACATGAAATCTTCCTATATGTTTTAAAATGCTGTGAAATTTTATTATAAGCTGAGCAGACATTTTAGATTGTGTGTACGAAGAGCCGACAAACGCCGTGCACTGTGGGTTACCAATCTTCTTTGTAGTTCATAGATTTACTCGATATTTTTATGCTTTTTTAAATTACTTTGAGCTTAGCATATAAATATTTTGCTGTAAAAGGCATTCTATGAATCCTTGCCTCTGACTTCTAACAAGTAGACTATTTCTCTTAGTTCAAACTTTATTAAATTCTCTTTTTCTCTTTTTTTTCCGGACTCACAAATCTGTACTGTTCATACTACTTCAAAATAAGTAGACTTCATTTATTGGTAGAATATTTAAATTGCCAGATCCTTCTCTGACAATGCTTTTATTATTTTTGGATGTCTTTTATAATTTTCTTTCCTTCTATTAGAATATTAATTTCATAAAATGTGAGTATTGTTTTGGAGATTTTCAGTAAATTCCGGCGACCCGATCCGGATCCACGCGATTTTCTGTCCGCTCACGAAATTAACCTTCGCGCGTGGGCCCGCTGATCCGATTTCGTTTGTCAAAATGCCGAACAAAAAAAAAACAAAGCGCTAAAAAATGTCTGGCGTCGCGTTGCGCAAATCTTTACGGTTCAACGGTCACATACACAATCGCATTGTGATATCGAGAGTTGCCGACATAACCTATAACCCAATTTGTCGCAATCAAGAGACCGCGTTAATCCATTATCGATTGCCGCGCGCAAAAAAAAAACGAATCGAGTTCGCTTTTCCTTTGTTATCGTTCCGTTACGTAAAAATTACGGCACGCAGGCATTACGCCGGCGCGTCCTCCCAAGAATGACAATCGGACGCGTATGGCCTACTCGATTATTTTTTCCCGCGACCGAATTTTCACGCTACGTCAGTGCGGAAAACGAAAACGGCGCGCGCGCGTGACGTCACTGCACGGCCGAAGCGATCCGTCAAAATGCGGCGTTGCCGGTTAGGTCGAAACGAGATGAGTTTTACGGGGCCTGCTCTTATCGAACAAACCCATTTTTAGGGACGGACTAGGTTTGTTGCAGCCATATAGCTATAAGATAATGTAGTGGCCCTACTACGGTAAAAATAGATGCGCCGCAGGTGGCTATGATGGATGGATATTTTGCGCATGCGTCACCCCTCCAACTCACTGAGTTGCCACATTGCTGTAATTTTCCTAGAAAATTGAATAATTCTTATAAAAACGCAGCATCAATCTCTCAAATACTTTGTGCTTTCGATACTTTATTCTTTCACCAAATTACAGCGAATGTGGCAAATAGTAGAGAAACACTGATGCCTATATATTAGACACTTAGAAACTGGAAAATGGACGTACACAAATATTTACATGTGAATTTACTAAACTACATTTTTAGGTACGCTTAAATAACTACGAAGGATGTTTGGGTAATATGTTTTAGTGTACAAGAATTACAGGAAATATAAGAAAGCAATTAAGCTGGAGCTAAGCTAGAACAAGCATAAGAAATAAACTTTCTTGAACATTTCAAAGTTATTTCAATGGAGGATAAACCTATGAGTTTATGAAAACTAACGTTTTACGCCGATGTACAAACAAAAATAGCTTACATTACATTGTATCCACAGGACTTGAAGAACAAAAACGCCAAATTAATTACAGAATTATACTGACACCGACGTAATTCTCACTGCTTTTACAGACTTCTCTTTTTGCCTGAACATTTAAAAGGATTTCGACATATTTTGATAAAATACTGCCATAACAATGCGGCCCCCAAACATCCCCGATCTGTCAGCGGCCATGTTATGTGTTGAAAGCCGCAAGATGTTATAGGTTCTATGGGTCATTAGATTAGAGAGGAACGTGACGGCAACGTCGCGAATCCAATGGTCTTTCACGTATACTAAATTTCACAAAATAAAAACAGAAAATTGAGTTTTAAATTGTTGTTTGGAAATTTTTAAACTGTCATCGTAACCATGAGAAAATCACGTTAGGTGTAGTGGTGTAGTAGTAGTAAACAAACACTTATTTCGGGGTAATATTTGGGAAAACGCAAGTGTAGAACAAAATCGATCGAGACGTTGTCCTGTCACTTTCATTCAATTCTGGGCGTCCCTCGAGATAATCAGCTTTTTGAAAGAAGAACAGTTCGAGGAGAATGAAAATCACTTTCAAAATCATAAGGTAGCTCCGATGGAAAAATCCAGAAAACGCTGGGCTGGGAGGATAATGCCACAAAAAGAAGCTCAGAGGAATTCAATTTGACCGCATTCTTGCATGTCATTACCTCTAATTGATTTTTGTTCCCAAAATGGTCATTAATTACTAAGTATTACTTAGTTTCTCGAATATTGGCCATATTAAAGCTATATACAATGCTGATATCAACAACTGACAAGCAAAAAACAATTTTGAGGTTGGCTTTAGTGAGGTCTCTGGTAGGTAGCCGAAATAGGTAATTTATAGGTATTAACTGGTTGTGTTAGAGGCGACTTTAGTAAGTCTAGTCTAGAAGTCTAAACTCCTGTCCCATCTAAGCTGTGTATGAAACTCTTTAAGAACTGGTAAACCCTGGTTGGTTTCAATCACTGTAACGAATGTTTTTCCATAACTCAGAGGCGCTTGGTGTTTCCGCGGAAACCCGGCAACGTCGCGAGAGAATCCTCGGCGCGACGAATTGCCACCGTCCTGCGGTTTTGGCGACAACTAGAGCGCAAACAAATCGGTGTGTTGCGTCACCCGAGCCTTGCGTCATTTTTTATGGCCAATTACGCGTTGGAAGTGAAGATGAGCCGATTAAACTAACCAAAACCATCCTGGCAGCAGCCGTTTTTTTTAATTCGCGCTTGTGGCTCATAGAAAAACGACTAGAAAAATCGAACCTTGTTCGACGCGGTTAAAAAAAAAACAAAAGTGTGCCACGCGCACAACTGCGGTGGCAACTTTCTAGGTTAGGGATAAACCGCGTTGCACACGACGCAGCCTCAAAGTCACGGCTGTCGCGGTCGATAAACTAGCCGCAAGATGGCGCAACGGTCGACGCGAGCGGGTCGACAACTCGAGCCCCTAATACGATTATTTTGAAGAAACTGATAAACTAAACTAACTAATCTTGCAAGTTGCCTTCACAAGTAACCTAGGAAAGTAATGCAGTTTCACCGATTGGTACACCATTAATACCAGGTTGCGTGGAGTTAAGGGCGTCCATTTAGATAATGTTATAACTACGTTCACCATATCCATATTAGGTTTAAAGGTAATCTTACTCATAATTTTCGTTCCTTGACTACAAGTTCACACAAAAAACAGCTGTTTCCCAAATCAGTATTAGAGCTTCACCTTGATGTGTCTTTCTGATTAGACTCCACGGTTCTTATAGTAGCTCCTTGGTGAAGCTCATTGCCACTGCTTTAGTTACGGCCATCCCACTCTCAATAGTTATCCTCCTCTTCTTCTTTATTTTCTACTTGGCTTCGATGCTTGTTAAACGGACAGTATATTGCATCTGTTCATAAACTCATTTCTTAAGGTTAGATTTTAGTTACTATCTTAATCTCTCTTTTTTAGTGTACGCATTTGAAAACTCATACACAACAATATAATAAAATTTTGATCCTATATTTTGAGTATCTTACTCTATCTCGTTTTTCAACTTTGGTATAGGAACAGAACTACGGGAATATTGATCGGAACTGCTTATTTAGTTAGTCCTGAAATATTGTGTACCTAACTTGCTTCCATAAATTGCTATTGACGTTATCATTACATTGAGGAAGCATTTTTGAATGCGTAGAGAGGAACATTCGTTCATTCAGATACTTCGAGATTGACCCTGGTAGATGAGCCTATTGTTCGAGCGTCGCAGACCCATTTACATAACAGATTCAACCTCCCCGTTTTGAATGAAATTACACGAAATTAGTCGGACGATTACACAGTTGGTCGACGATGCGAGCGCTCGAAAGTGTTAAACTGCGCCGAACGGAACGCCGACCATGTCTTGGAACTATTACGCAGCGTTTCCGACCCACTGGTACAGATAGTCGACAATGCTATACGTCGCAATTTTACTTTTCCACTTAATGATCCGTGGATAGACGTGTCCGCCGTTGTTGTATGAGGCATTGCTTAATGGTGGCGACCTCTTACTCTTGTGCTTGTGCAAAATCTGAAACACCACTATGGATGTCTCCGAAATGAAAAGGTTCTTAAGCCTCGTTCCAAGTACTGTGCTGTCCGCTTGCTAACAGGTGCATTTCCACTGTTTTATGAACTGATTTCAAATATGTAGTTTTAATTAAAATGCGACCACAGACTATAACTCTACTTATTCTCTTGTTGCAGTCGTTCTTCGGCAGATCCTACAACAACATCAACTCAATCAACGATTGCAAAAACAACAACCGATGCGTCATCAATAAAAAGAACCGGACCGCGTGTAAAGCGTGCCGCCTGCGCAAGTGCATGGCAGTGGGCATGTCCAAAAGCGGTTCCAGATACGGCCGAAGATCCAATTGGTTCAAGATTCACTGCCTGCTCCAGGAACAGCAGCAGAAGCAACTCCAGGAGACCGGAGAAGAGCACCCGCCCCCCGAAGTCATGTCGAACCAGTTCACTTCGCCGCCGCCGAACCACACGAACCCGATGGGCATGAGGTTGCTTGGCGCGAATCCTTTCACGCCACCGTTGCTCCATTTGCCACGAACGCGGGAGGAACTGATGCTGTTGGGGCTGGACGAATCGTTCAGGCATTCGGCTAGTCCGTCGGTGAGCTCCCCCGAGTCCCACAACTCCGACTCCTCCGTTGAGGTGGCCGACCCCAGGAGGATACCTCTTATACCTGGCTTGCTACCGCCGACATTCCTCCCGCCTCCGGGTTTGCTGTTTCCCCCAGGATACCCGCCGTTTTATCCCGGGTTGCTGCAGCCCGCAGCTGCTAACAACAACAATGACCGCCTGGTAAGGAACAACAACCCAGTGGTCGAGGCGAAAGTGAAACGGGAGTACTTGGATGCCGTGCTGCAACTCCAGAGGACGACCACACCTCCGGAGGAGAAGGTGCGGACTCCGGTGCCTGTCCCGAGTCCCATTCAAGACACCCCGATAGATCTGAGCATGAGGACTATGAGCGAGAGGGGCTCGTCGCCAGCGGGTAGCGAGAGGTCCGGTTCCATAGCCACGGAACGTGGCCTGGGGAGCGAGAGGAGCGACGAAGATAGCGACTGCGAGTCGGAAACTAGGGAAATGAGTAGAATCAGTTTGTTGAGGCCCACGCCGTTAGACTTGACGACGAAAGTTTGATGACGCGATACGTTCTCGTATTTGTTTTCTTTTTTCATGCGGAAATTTTTCCGGTCACGCCGCTTGCGTCGGGAGTGCCTTACGTTTGTTTGTTGTTAACTTTGATAGTAGGAAATGTAACATATTGTACATAATAGAGAAGTTAAATTATCCAGACGAAAGTATAGTGATATTACGTGTAGAAATATGCTGTTTTTTGTTCTCTTAGTGAATTTAGTGGCCAGTAATGTCATAGTCGTAGCGTTTTTTTTTCTTTAATCCTGTCGATCGGCGTCGCGACAGTGGCGGATCGCATTCGAACAGTGCAATGTTGTCGTTTTTCCTTATTTATTTTTTTATTTGTAAAAAAAAGACAAACGTTACTCGCCGCGGGCATTCGAGTGTGTTTTTTTTATTTTTAGCGGTTTTTTATTACAGATATTTTTGTTTGTTAATATTTTGTATGTATGCGAGTGATCTGAATAGTTTGGGGACCAGGGCCAGTTTTTGAACGAATGTGAGTGATTCTTTTTGTACAAGGCTGCTTGCAAAACAGTTAATAAAAACTATTTAGAAAAGACTTTTGGATTTATTTCGACGTACATTTTGGTTGAACCAGACAAGTTTGGAAAATCAGTTACTCAAAAATACTTTATTCCTGCATAGCATTTCGCAATAAAATTATTGTCAACGTTTGTTTTAAGACGAGAACTCTTTCTGTGCTATAAATAAATTAACGCCGACATTTTAATAAAAATGTTAATTTAATAACAAAAATATTTGTTGATATCCCCTTTCCAAGACTCTGAAATTTGATAACGCAATGGTACCGGGTGATGCACTACTAAAAATCAAAATAAGACTGCTTGTTCAATAGATATAGACTAGGCGAAACTATATCAGTATGTAAAGAATACGAAAATACTGATGTGCTCTTTATTTCTACCACAACAAACAAAATCAGATCTTTCAATATGCATAAGTAAGTTGCAAAAGCACAAAATAAAGCAATAAAATTAATTTTGTCTGCACCAAACCTGATCCCTACCGAAATCATCTCCAAAATATATTCAGTTTTAAAAAGAAATTAAATAAAATGTTTTGAGCAAACTAAATTAATAAATATATTTATTAGAAAAGGGGCTACTTAAATCCACGGCAGTACTAAGTCAAAATCAGGATGAGCATAACTACAATACTGGAAATTGAAAAAAATATTGAAAAAAAACCACAAAAGGAGTCCGATGTTTTTTCCACAGATCATTCTTCTTTAGTCTGAAATAAAACGATAAAATTTCCGGTTATATACACATTACTGGCATCATAATCCACGGAAGAATTTACAAAATGAAATTATTAGTATCGGCATGCAACAACAACATCACCAGCAAAAATCGCAACTACTTAGTTCAAGGAAGCATAAACGATCAAAATGATTTCGCGAAGTGACGATTTAGCCTCAAAAAAAGCAAACAATTAGAAATAATATAAAACAATCTTCTATTACCCGTCTCGGTCATTAGTATTAACGTGTATGATAAAATAAAAAATTTCTATCCACGTCTTTCTTTAAAAATTTTTTTCTCACAAATTCGATATTGCCTTCACTACCAGAACCATTCCTGTCTAGATCGAGTTCGCTGGAGAGAGGAGACAGAAACGGCACTCCGGCGATCTATTTGCGCATTCTAAAGCGCAGGAAGAAATTTTCTGCGCAGCATTGCAAATCTGTTATTAGGTAACATGTTATAAGCACATTATTGCTTTCAAGTGTTCAAAAATTACCATTTAAGGAAATACAGTTAAATATTCTGTGTCAACGTAGACTATTAAATAATAAAATCCGAATTCCCGAAATAATTTTTTACCGAGAAACTTTCACCGATTCGGGGCTCGGACATTTTCCATTTTATCGCCGAGTTTAATACGTTTGATCGACCCAGATCGAATTTTATTGGACAATATGTTTTTCGAATAGCCGAAAGAATTATGCAAAAATTTTAAGTTTTTTCCGATTTTATGTGACAGCTTAACGCGGCGCACGCAACCGACGGAGTGTCTGAATTATTTATGAATGTAAATCGCGGAAGAAATATTCATATATGCTCGCGCTCAAAAATACGTTCGTATAATAAAGTAGAAAATATTTAGATTAATAACGAATTGCGCAAAACGCGATCCGAAAGAGTGACACGTGTGTGATCCGATTCTCGCCCGGTATACGAGGCGGTCACGTAAGAAAGAGAACTACAGGGTGACCCAAGTTGGTTAACTATCAATTCCTCGTTTAACATTACAAGTGAAACGAAAGAAATAAGAAAAATATATGTGTGTTGAACACATGTGTGAAATAAAACGTTAAGAAGGATAAACGCATATTCTGCTATTGCACAGAGAAATTAGGAGAAAACACCTAAACTTTGCCGTTAATATTTTATTTTCTTTTGTAGGTTAGGAATTATTTAAGTTAGGCAGTTATTTTTGTTCAGCCGATATTCCTCCGTATTTGTAAGAATGAAAACTGTACATAAGGAATTCAGATTCTGAAAGTGAAACTTCTATTGCGAATTTATTCTCTAAAAACTCCAAATTCCTCTCAAGGTATAAGTAGTATTAATTTTTTCTTGGTATATATCCATATTACATCCATGAACATATCCACAGAGTTCTGTTAAAATTTTTGTACTTTCCTAAACATTCTATTCTATTTTAAAGTTAGGACCACCACGTTCTCATTCACGTTTTATGTAATGTCGTATGATGTTCCCGTCTAAAGAAATAAAAGTTTATTTCGGAGTGTCTAGTGTAATTATTTAGAAGTATATTAAATACATAACAACAGTCAATATCATACGGTAAAGAGAGAGAAAATACCATTCATTCATTCGCCCATTTTCCGGCTTCCGCCGAGAATTGGTTTTTTGGTCACAGAAAAACATTTATAACCTGGAGGGTGCCTTAAGAAAAAGGAACAGGACGGATCCATCACCCTCCCAGGGAAACGGAAACAACAATTGGGAACAGTATTCAAAAATCTTGCACCGATAGCAAAAAACGGCCTCCACCGCTTTCCCCGCAGACCATCCGGCCTCCATACCAGCGTGAATAGGAAAAAACAGGAAAAATTTTTGGGGACGATTACAAGGGATTCTGTAGGGAGCGAACGCCATGTGCAATGCCACCGACAGAAATTATCACAGTATAATCAATAATCGCATACTAAGAGTTCCGCCCTCTCTTAGAATAGAAATGGATATGTGGACGTTTCGCCAATCAGAAACAGTTCCGCTGACCTGTTTCCGTCAAGCTCTGAAGAAGGGATGATTGGTGAAACGTCAGCAAGTTCGACTCAGCAAAAACCGACGCAGAAGGAATCCAGAAGTTTTGTAAAAAGTATTACAGTAGCTTGTCGAAGTTTCTTTGAAAAATTAAAATGAAATAAATGTTTGTTTTGTAAACAATAAAACGTGCAATAAATATAACTACTATTGCATCAGTATTTTCCACATATCCATTTCTATTCTAAGAGAGGGTGGAACTCTTAGTATGCGATTATTGATTATACTGTGATAATTTCTGTCGGTGGCATTGCACATGGCGGTTTAACTTCCGTTCGCTCCCTACAGAATCCCTTGTAATCGTCCCCAAAAATTTTGAAATCGGTTCCCGCAGAGTGAATTTAGTGTTTTTAGTGTTTAGTGAATGTTTTACAGGTGTAATAGTTGTCCTCCCCGCTGTTTTTTCCTATTCACACCGGTATGGAGGCCGGATGGGCCCGGATGGTCAGCGGGGAAAGCGGGGGAGGCCGTTTTTTGCTAACGATGTAAGATTTTTGAATAGTGCAGTCTAATTTGGTGACCTTCAAAAGCGTAAACGCTTACATTTTATGGTTTTCTGGTGGTTAATGATTATTTTGTTTCGAAAGCACCATTCTGCAAACTGCTTTAGCATTGTCGGTTCCATCTTGGTGACGTTTCGCTGCCGGCTTCTTCAGCGAAACTTCAAATAGGCTAGAAATGGTATCGTCAACTTTGACAATGCTCTTTCTGAATCTTTCTGGTGTTTAACAACCAATATGACAGTTCATCACTATTTTCGGTTTCAGCATTTTAATCAATTTTTTAAGAAAACACAGTGTATGAATATGTGTTAGACACCTAGGGGTCATAAATTTTATGGTAGTCGCAGCTCGAATATTATTTACAGCTCCATAACCAAAACTAACTATAGCTATAGTATTTGTTTGACCATTTTACTAATTTAACCGAGTCTTTGAGAGGATTATAATGGAAGTGAATAGCTTCAGATGAGATAGCAGAGTCTTTCTTGTCTCGCATACTTTATTTTCCAGAAACCAAATTCTAATGTTTACGTTACTAATCGTGCCAAGAAAACGGACACACAAAAGAATGTTGTTTGCTTAGGTTACAGACGTTTTAAAATCAATCGCATCTATAAAAGTAAATTGCTAATGGCACTTAAAAGTGTAGGTGCTGCCGATTTCTCCTAATAACGCTTTTTATTTGGCGAACGTATTATCGTTATCGGAAAGTGAAATTGACGATAATATTTGTAGAGGATATTACGATGGTTCAGGTGAGGTCGCGTGGACCAGACGCGAAAAATCCTTCCGCGCTTAGTCTTTGTTCTAAAACACGTCTAATTAACGTAATTATCTCGGTAAGAAACGCCGCTCTAACCCAATTAAAAACAATTTAAACGATGCAAGATACGATCGCCCTTGTATATCATACGGAATATGCATTAACTAACCAAGTTGCGACACCCGGTGTCTCGCGTTAACAAATTCTCTTCTTGGGTTCATTCATTATGGAGCGTCGGATATGTGTCAAGTTTTTTCCTAGTTTCGTTGCGATCGCCTCGACGGTCGGCCATTATAATACGATTGTTTACTCGGAAAGATTTCAAAGAGCGATAAAATTCGGATATTAAAAGGTTAACTGTAATCCAATTTCCTTTTTGCAGCCTTACACGTGCTTCCGATTGCATGTCTTTTGAAATCATTTAAAAAAAAAATAAATTGTAACAGCTTTAACGAAAGGAGTGCTCTTGAACTGAGGTGTTCAGATTTTCACGAAATTATTATTGTATTCTAAACAAGCCAGTTATTACAGAGTATACCGACCACCAATTTTACAACAGGTTCATAAACTTAACAGACACAACATTTTCTAAAAATGAAGTTGAATTTCTGGAAAAAGTTTCTACTTTAACTAACAACACTCGAACATTAATAGACATGTGAATTAGCAATTAATAATAATAATAATAATATTAATAATAATCATTTATTGTCTGACGGATTCCACATCCATTTACAAGACAATCTAACAAGTATATGATACATCATTTAAACACAATAAAGCAAAATGCATAAACAAATTAAAGCGCTCACACTTGTACTCGTACCTTAGTGCCTATGCGTGATACAATATCAATTGCCTAAACAAAAAAATTTGTTTTGAGAATGTTTGATAACTGATTATAGGAGAGGTTGAAAATGTCAATATCACTACAACGGTCATTGAAAAGATACATAGCATTGTATAAG